GCTGGAAAATACATGTACATTGTACAATTACTGTGCATTCCTTCCTCCATGGGTACATGTATATGTACCGGTAACTTACCTTATAATCTATCCTCCAAAAATAACTTCATGAAACCACGTACGCTACTCTGCATACCATGTAGTTCACGTATCTAGGAAATGAGATATGTGCTGTGGCTGGGAAGTGACGAGTACATGTACAGTTGTACATGTGCATGTTTGCAATAACAAACATGTACCATGTACCATATCATTTCTCATCTGGGAATTTCCCTACACTGTGTATATTACGTGTGCTATTTTTAGGAACTGACCATTTTTAGACTTGTCACAGTCCAGACAGTGTTAAGTCTTTTTACATGTATGGGAGAAAATTATTTTCTTCGAATTTCATTTTTTTGACGTTATCCTTCATTTACATGTAGGACCATTTTTTTTTTAGTGGAATACTTGTGTTAAAACTGTTTATAAAGTGGAGTTAAAATTGACAGTGAGAATTTTATAGTTAAGACTAAAATTGCATGCTTTTGTCACACAGTTCTATCATTTAATTACGTAAATGCAAACACGCAAAAATCAAAATGCAAGGCACAGTGAAGCAATAGAAAAAAAATGAACACTTGCCAGTTCTACATTTACGATTCTCCTGTATCATAAAAAAGGAAAAAGGGAAAAAAACACTAGATCTACATGTATTTCTGTTTGTGTTAGAGCATCAGCTTTTCTGTAGTATGATTTTTTTTATGAGTTGATGTGTACGAACACGTGTACGAACACGTTCCATAAAGACTATTAGCTGTTTCTTGAAATATTAGCTGTTTCTTGTAGTTCTCTAGATATACCGGTAGGAATATGCACCTTTAAGATGAAATCTCATGTTCCATGATGACGCCATGCATGACGTCATCCTAATTTTTGCCTATAACACATCCCATGTCTGAGTACATATGCTTCAACTCAACCGTACTTGTAGTTTTCTCAAAACAGGACTTACTGGTACGTCCCTTTCAGATGACGTCACATGACCCATGATGATGTCACATGACCCATGATTACTTCATCATAAAGTCGCCCATCCAGGACAAACTGTACATTGGGGCCTTTACTTTGTCTGTGCCTAGTTTAAAGTTAATCTGACTTCAAAATTTTGCTAACTGGTTAGAAAAAAATGTAAAAATTTTTCAAATTTATAAAAAATCAGTTGATGACGTCATCATGACATTACGGTACTTCACATTTTGAATATTAGTATCTACCGATCCACCAAGTTTCATGACGATCGGACATACATATCTGCCCTTATATATGTTTTGAAAATTGCCATGGCTAAATCCAGAATAGTGTACAGGGTGAGTAAAAAAAAGGGGAACCCAAACCCCCAAAGTTATATTTTATTGTTAAAAATATATGTAGCACCAAAAATAATAATGCCTGGAAAGCCAATTTCATGGTGTACTTTTTATTTATTCCATTTCTTTACCCAGGGTATGCCCAAACAGTTTAAAACTGGTTTCCATTGGGGCCCTGCATACAATAAATAATAACTACAAACATGTATAATTATACAAAACATTACAAATACAATAAAATTCAATACAGTGAGATAAAACAATATTTGAGTAATGCATAGGTGTTAAGCAAATATTATCAATACAATATATTTTAAAACTATTATAACTACATGTACAGTATGAATGCTTTACTATAAAGTTGATTCAGTGAACACGAAATTAGATGGAAAAATGACTGAAATTGGTCAATCCGTTCGGAAAATATCACCATTTAAACACAAGACCCTAAAACCTGTCTCGTTCAAAAAATGCGATTTCAAGAATCATCGTCGCAATTGTCTTTAAACATCACCAGCGATTAAATCTCAGTTTAAACGTTAAAAATATTCAACAGAATCCCTTTGGAGACCCGTCCTTAAAAAAAGTACATTTTTATAAATCATATTGTTTGCCTAACCAGGGCTGTTAATAAAAAATATTGTGTACTACATTTGGTGACAGTTGTTGAAACAAGTATTCTGTGTCATTTTTGTTGTTGTTCAAAACAGTCAAATCGCCAATGAATTGCTTTTTTTGGACGAGGCAGGTTTTAGGGTCATTGTGTGTAAATGGTGATATTCTTTGAACGGATTGAGCAATTACAGTATTTTTTTCATCTAAAAGTAGTTTATGAAATTGCCTTTTCAGTCATTATTATTTTTGGTTCTACATATTTTGATGCCCCGCGGCGAAGCCGAAGGGGCATACTGTTTCCGCCTTGTCCTTCCGTGGGTAGGTGGGTGGGTGGGTGGGTGTGTGTGTGTGTCCGTGTCCGGACAAATCTTGTCAGCGCGTTAACTTGAGAAATACTTAACATATGAACTTCAAATTTGGTTTGTGGATTGTTCTTGGCAATCCTAACAACCCTTTGCATTTGGGGCCGAAAGGTCTAGGGTCAAGGTCACAGTGACTAAAACAAAAGAAATTTTGTCAGCACGATAACTTGAGAAATACTTTACATATGAACTTCAAATTTGGTTTGTGGATTGTCCTTGGCAATCCTAAGAAGCCTATAGCATTTGGGGCTGAAAGGTCAAGGGTCAAGGTCACAGTGGCTGAAACAATAGAAATTTTGTCAGCGCGATAACTTGAGAAAAACTTTACATATGAACTTCAAATTTGGTTTGTGGATTGTCCTTGGCAATCCTAAGAAGCCTATCGCATTTAGGGCCAAAAGGTCAAGGGTCAAGGTCATAGTGGCTAAAACAATAGAAATTTGGTCAGCGCGATAATTGAGAAATACTTTACATATGAACTTCAAATTTGGTTTGTGGATTGTCCTTGGCAATCCTAAGAAGCCTATTGCATTTGGGGCCAAAAGGTCAAGGGTCAAGGTCACAGTGGCTAAAACAAAAGAAATTTTGTTGGCGCGATAACTTGAGAAATACTTTACATATGAACTTCAAATTTGGTTTGTGGATTGTCCTTGGCAATCCTAAGAAGCCTATTGCATTTGGGGCCAAAAGGTCAAGGGTCAAGGTCATAGTGGCTAAAACAATAGAAATTTTGTCAGCGCGATAACTTGAGAAATACTTTACATATGAACTTCAAATTTGGTTTGTGGATTGTCCTTGGCAATCCTAAGAAGCCTATTGCATTTGGGGCCAAAAGGTCAAGGGTCAAGGTCACAGTGGCTAAAACAAAAGAAATTTTGTCTGCGCGATAACTTGAGAAATTCTTCACATGTGAACTTCAAATTTGGTTTGTGGATCGTTTTTGGTAATCCAAATAGGCCTATCGCATGGGGGGTCGAAAGGTCAAGGGTCACTGTGGTCACAGTGGCTTAAACAATAAAAATCTTGTATTTATTCTGAGATCATAGGGGATTAGGGATTAATTCATATAAAACCAACAGAAGACACTAATGCTGTCAATGAATGTTCCATGTGACCAAGGTACGGTACGTGTAAGTTGATGTTAAAAGAGTGGTGTTATGTCATGGGAACAGTCATGGTTGCGGGGCATTTGTGTTTGTAAACACACCTGACTTGTTTAAAATATGAAATATATTTTATCAGTGTTGGAGCAAAGGCTTTGACCCTCAAGGCCAAGGCCAAGGCCAAGGCTTTGACCCTCAATGCCAAGGCCAAGGCCAAGACCCTCAAGCCTCGAGGCCAAGGCCAAGGCTTAACCCTCAAGGCCAAGGCCAAGGGCAAGGCCCTGTTTTATGTAATGACCACTGATATAGAACTAATTATAGTCACATGAGTGACACATCATCACGCAAGGGCGGATCCAGAACACAATTTTGGGGGGGGGGGCAAAGAAATTTTGGTCCCCCCAAAAAAGTGGGTCAAAAAAATTACAGGTTGGGCTTCGGGGCCCGCTTAAGGGCCCCGACAAATTTTTGGATTGGAGATGCTCTGTGGTGCGATTTGAGGCAATTTCTGACCATTTTAACCGATGTTTTTTGAGGAAAAGATGGAGGTGTACTCATTGCCTGCCTTTATTACGACGTCACATTAAAAAAAATGGTTTCGGTTTTTTGTGGGGGGGGGGGGCATGGCCCCTTTTGGCCCCCCTGGATCCGCCCTTATCATCACGAATTGCTCGTTACGAAGAACAACATTTCTTTAATTGCAATCAACATGCTCGCATAGGCCTACACCGTTTTATGACTGCACTGTATCTATTAAAGTATAAGTTCAGGTCTTCAATATGGTTTAACTAAACAAAATAATGATTTACTTCTATATTGACACACAATTCTCCCAAGTGTAACAAAAGGGGGATCCAAGAAACTGATTTGGAAAATTTTTATTTGCTGGCCCAACATGGTCAGAAATATCAGCATTATCTAAAACAGATACATGCAAATCTTTAGCACTTATCAGGGAGACATATGCAACCTATCAGATCTATTCCATAGTTATATGCAATTAAAGTGATCATCTCATTAGCCCCACAAGTGTACGGAATATTTTTGCAGCAAATCTTCTACAATGGTAACAAAATGTGATGCTACAAAAGTGGAAGTGTGCCCAACACACAAATCTATAGGGTGCTTCCCTCCTCCATGGTAATACGATTAAAATGGTAACAGCAAAATTTCGGACAGATTTATCTGGAAAATGCAAAAATCTATGGGCCTTGAAGAGCCTTGACTCAAAATTACAAGGCCCTGAACCCTCAAGGCCAAGGCCAAGGCTTTTGCCCTCAAGCCTCGAGGCCAAGGCCAAGGCCCTAAAATCCAGCCTTAAGGCAGCCTTAAGGCCAAGGCCCAGCATCAAGGCACTACATCACTGTATTTTATTGGGTTTGGGTTCCGCTTTTTTTGACTCACCCTGTAGTATGATACTCACTTTTTTAATCCCAGTCTACCTACATACCAAGTTTCAACACACATGTTGTTGCTCATGTGTGAAGTGGCCAGGGCTAATGGCTAAATCCAGAACAGTTTATAATGCTCACTTTTTAAATTATATCCTTCTTTGCATTTGCACAGGTACAGCATCTTTGTCCCACACCAAACTGATGCCTGGTTTGAATCCTAAAAACCTGCCACTTGATGTCAACTTGTTTGTCCTGCCCCGTCTGGACACTGCAGCCTCTGAGCATTCATCCACTGATGGTAAGCTTCCGGGCAAGTTCAAGAATTCACTCAAACTTTGACCCGTATGTAGCAAAAGTTGAACCCTCTTAGGCTATCAGCTTTTGTTTAAAAAATCGGCCACCGATATCAAATGATCAAATGATCAAACGATCGAAAGGAGCAATGTTCAAAGCAACTTTTGGGAAGATATGCACCTAGAGTTGGAAAATGTGTGATAGCTTTACAGTGTGATCGGTGGCAGTTTTTTCTGGTGTTATAACTTTTTAACTTTTATTTTTTTTAAATGGCCGCCAATATTCTTGTTAACGAATTAATTATATGTTTTGAATCAAATCAAATAAGGATTTACATCACCCCGACGGGGTGATTTACATCATTACATCATAGTATTTACATCACCCCGACGGGGTGATTTACATCATTACGTGATAGTATTTACATCACCTTGACGGGGTGATTTACATCATTACATCATAGTATTTACATCACCCCGACGGGGTGATTTACATCATTACGTGATAGTATTTACATCACCTTGACGGGGTGATTTACATCATTACGTCATAGTATTTACATCACCTTGACGGGGTGATTTACATCATTACGTCATAGTATTTACATCACCTTGACAGGGTGATTTACATCATTACGTCATAGTATTTACATCACCTTGACGGGGTGATTTACATCATTACGTCATAGTATTTACATCACCTTGACGGGGTGATTTACATCATTACATCATAGTATTTACATCACCCCGACGCAAAATTCCATCTTATAAAAGCCTGCTTTGGCCGTCATTAATAAATAAATTGGGTGATAGCACCCAAAAAGCTGCCACCGCTGCAATGCTATCACATACTTGCCAACTACAGGGGTGCATACCTTGCCAAAAATCACAATGAGCATTATCATTTGATACCGACCAAACCCCCAGGCTGATGGCCTGTCTAAGACATTCATGGATTTCAGTGTGTTTTTTTTCTGCAGTTGGGCATCTGCAAGGAGAATACAAACAAGATTTGTTATGTTATAAGTCTTTGCGATGATTATGTAAAAAAAAAAAAAGCACCATGGGGTTAAGTGTGGGACAAAAAGGGACGTATTATTGGACTAAATACCTTCCATTCAAAATTTCAAAATAGAAAATAGAAAACATTTACTCTCTTTAATGTTGCAATGTGAATTTGTACAAAAATTACCAAGCCTTTGACCGGGGACTGCTCTACCGGTATGTTCCGACACCCCTATGTTCCGACAACCTAGATTGTGTTACTCGCAGTTAGGGTTAGGGCTAGGGTTAGGGTTAGGAATAGGAATATGTGCAGTCGGAACATAGGGGTGTCGGAACATAGAGGTGTAACCCTTTGACCAGTGTTCTCTGCTTTATTCTTTTGTTAAAACTGAAGTACAATGACATCCATTGGTTTATTTTTGTTGCCCCGTTGCATATTGGTAGCTTGTACAAATGTAATTCTAGTCAGGTGCAACTGCAGTGTCTTTCTTCAACTTGGTAATAACTTATGAGTCCTTTTCTTGCGTGCCGTTGATTATCGAATACAAAACGTAAAGTAAACTAGCTGTCATGAGCCAATGTGGCCCATCAGGCTGGCGTTTATCTCTGGTTTCAGTAGCATGAAACGACTGAGAATATTTCTACTTCCTAACTAATGCTGGTACCCATGCATAATACTTCGTGGAGAGGGGCAAGTGGGGGTAGAGTGGCTTGCCCTAGGACACACCATATGGTCAGCAGCTGGATTCGAACCCCCTGACCCTCTGATCAGGAGTCACAAACCCCAATCACTGGGCCACAGCGAATATAAGGAAACTGTTAAAGATGAGTGTATACATCAGTGTTGGAGGTCTCGAGGCCGGCCTCGGCCTCGAGGCCGGCCTCGAGGCCGACTTTCATGGCCTCGGCCTCGGCTTTGGCCTCAGAGGTGCAAGGCCTCGGCCTTGGCCTTGGCCTTGGCCTCGGAGCCTTCCGGCCTCGACGAATCGGTCGAGGCCGGCTCGAGGCCGCCCATTTTGATGTGTTTTCCATTCTAATTAATTTTAATTTTTACCATATCAAACCCTCAAGATTCTGACGCAGTTGGTTCCGTGAAACGAACGCATATACAATGTACGCACGAATGAACTGGAAATGGTTGCATTGAACGTACTCACGTACGTAGCATCTTCGCCTAGCCTGCGCTTCAGCTTTCCACATGCGTGCAAGCATTATAACTGTTACCGCGTGCTAGACTACATAAGTCTGGCACCAATCCCATTTGCGTACAATAACATGTGGTAGTAGACTAGTCTGGTTGCAGTGTTGTACAAAATTTTCTCGTTTCGCCTCTGTACCCCGACCTCTAAAAATGATTTGCGGCAAGGTGCGGCAAGCTTAATCATTTCTTTTTATAGGCCACTGTTTCAGGAAAAGTCTGAACTTTCTGGGTACGATCGAGTGTACTAGTCCGTACCATTTTTTTCCCATAAAGATATGATAAAAACAATTACGATTTATCAAGTAGATTTTATTTTTACACGGTGATTTAAATAAAAGTTCCGGCTCACACGGTAATGTTTGGCGCAAATGGTCGATATGGAAAGCGCGATTTCAGAATTCGTTTTTCCATCCAAATGAATGCAAAGTTCTGAATGAATGTTTTAGTAATAGGAGTCAGTATTCCTTGTGGTACCAGGATACTTTTTTGTATTTTTAGAGCCATATGTTGATACTTATTACATGTATAAGTGATATCATGCACGCATGTTCTGTGTTGCCGTGTTGTTTGGAGCGGGATTGGCCATTGCCAGACTTTGTCTGGTACCGCGATATTAACAGTGATAATGCGTGGACACTTATCCCGTTGTGTGGAGCGGGATTATTGGAACTATGCTTTGCCCGTGCGTAACGGCGGGCCATCTGGCATTGTCTGGTCGCTTGCGGTGTTTGTTCGGCGCGCGCCTGGACAGTGCGAAGGTTGGAGGGGGGGGGGGGTCGTAACTTTTTGGTAATGAGTGGTAAAAACCTGATTCAAAAATCAAGTTGTTGTTTATTTAATGGGGATTCCTATGATATTAAGCATTTTGATAGGTTTTGAAAATAAGATTTATAAAACATGCTAAAAGTAAATTCTGATAATCTTATAGAATAGAAACTCAAAATTTGGCAATTTAAATTGTTGTATCTCCAAAAGGCAAACACCTATGAGCCTGATTCAAACGCCATTGATTTTGTGTGTAATTTGCTTTCAGTGATACAAAACTTGAGATTTCTTTCTTTAAAAAATAAAATTCGCCGGACTCCCTACAAGAGGAAACCCATTGCAAGCTGTAAATTTGTAAGCCAGGCACTCCAAAACTCAGTGAATTCAACTAAAACGATGTTAAAACTCCAACATAATCTTAGCCTTGTTTTAGTGATATATATTTTATTACGTGTTTTGATAGCTGGCCTCGGCCTCGGCCTTGGCCTCGGAGGTGGTGGCCTCGGCCTTGGCCTCACGGTTGTGGCCTCGGCCTCGGCCTCGGCCTTGGCCTTGGAGGTTGTGGCCTCGGCTTTTGCCTCGGCCTCGGAGGTTGTGGCCTCGACTACAACACTGGTATACATGCTTTTTAGATGTGGCACCTTGAAAAATAGATTTCCAAATTGAATTTATAATTTCTAGCATGACATGAGTTGTGAGCTTACCAACATCGCACACAAAAAATCGGCCCATGACAAGCAAGCAATTAATTAATTTCAACTTTTGCATTGACAGCAGGGATGCTCCTTATTCATTCTGAATAGTGTGCGCAATTTCTGAACTGGGGCGGGCCATTTTAAACCAAAATTTTAAGACTGTATAAAGGCCTGCAAAAACAAATAAGCACATTTGTTTGTTACAGGACATCATATTTCTTAAATGGCTTTCGAAAAAGAAATTTTGAAAAAGAATGTATGTACCAACTTTAAATTACTCTGGATTTTCCTCCTGTTGTTTTCACTTGTGTCTTTAATAGGTCGTATTGTTGGAGTTTCCCAGATTCCCGTCTCTTCCCCCCCCCCCCCTTTAATACTTTTGTTGTGGTTCTTATATTTCTGTATATCTGCTTATTGCTTTTCTTACCCTTTGATGGACAGGGCGGTCACTCATTTTGAGCAGATTCACTGATTAATTATGCAAGACATCTGCATCTTGACCTCTAGATTTTGACCAATCAGCGGGCACTCGCTATATCGGGTTTTCAGTCATTCTCCCATTGTTGCATCACAGACATGGGTAAAAAAAAAATCTAGACACAGCAACAAAGGCCTTGGTCACGCGCTTTGCTTTATGTTACGCGATATACGCCCGGCTCAGTGTTGCTGTATTACAAAAAACTGCATTCGAATTGACCAATCATCATCATCATCATCACTTGGTACACGGCAACAGAACTAAAAGTTCCATGACGCCGCAAAAAAAAAAAATCAAACCATTTAGTCCTGATTTGGGAATGAAATGACGTTACAAGTTAGTAAAGTCGACTCCGATTGGCTGAGGCGCGAGATCGCTTTAATCTGCATGCTTTGATATATCAGACGTTATACAGAGACTGGCTCCGTGGTTAACGGGTGATACTAAGGCTAGGCGGTCACTAGCGACCACCCAAGAAATTATGTAATCTATACATCTACGGTACATCAGCCTGGGATTAGTGCTATCTCTTAGGCTGACAAAATTCTCCAAAATGTTCATGAGGCAAAGTCAAGGTCCTCAGTATTTCACCAGCCAAGTTTCAAGTCTCATATGAATTATTAAAGGAGACATTTCTTCAATATTATGCACTTGAGAGGGAAGTCAAGTGATCTCAATGTGAGGCCGAAGACGATAGACTGGTACATGTCCAACCATGGTCCAACTGTTTGGAAAGACTGACCTCTTCATTATTCAGGTGACTGACTGTGGAGCAATGTGTAGAAATAAGAACCAGTACCAGACATACACGATGGTTTTTTTTGGGTACAGTTGATTCATGCAGTATTGAAGGGTTGTAGTGCTGAAACTGATCCTCCAGGTGCGGTTCGGTTCGTTTTTATTCCTCAGATTGGTTCATTTCGGGTTCGGCTTTTATAAGTCGCCGTTTCACTCAAGTCGGTGTGTTACTTTTGATCCCCTACAAAAAGCTCAACAAAATCATTTATGTAATTGGAATTCAAAAGATCACGCATTGGCATTGACTTCCTGCAAAATACATGAACATGTGCCACCACAGCACACGCAATCTAAAAGGGGTTTCCCCAATACATGCAATACTGGTATACCGCTCATCGTGAGCAATACCAGTAACCCCTCTAGCCTGCACGCATGCCCTCTGTCTATTTTGGGAGTCTTATTGAATGACTTACCAAGCGTGCATTTAATTCGTAACTGTACATGTACGACACTGACTTCTATTACACGCGCGCATTATGTACACGTGGTCTCCACTATAGCAATGCTACGCGGTTGTATGTATTATGCACACCGAAGAGGGACAATCGTGGAGCTTAGCCCACCAAACAATGAAGATGAATGAAGCGATTTGTTAACACAGTAAATTCAATCATCCGTGCGCTTCAATTTTGCCCTTTCATTGCAAGCATTAGCATTCCTAGCGCTACCAAAAAAACTACGTGCTGAACTTCTGAACCGACCATTTTGGTTTGGCTCGGTTCGGTTCGGAAGCTAGGCTACCTGTATGTTCGGCTATTTTTAGTTCAGTTCGACAGTTCGGTAAAGGGTTGTTGGATTGGTTGTTTCATGTGCCAGTCTATTTTCTTGTATGGCACGCTTTCAATACCTTACGTTACATCAGTGGTCGGTTACTCTGGTACCTGGTTCCGATGCTCATCCCTAATGACGATTAAGGATTTTTAATGTAAACATGTTGGAATGCTTTATGATTTTTTGTTTCTTTTTCATTTCATCAGATCAGTCAGTCTTGCTGAGTCTGTTACCGGTCTCATACCAAGGCCATCCCAGTGTGGACCTCCTTGTCAAGTCTTTCCGGAACCAGATCTACAGTGCTGCCAGAAGTTCCCTCACTCACACCTCTCTGACTGAGAAGAACTGGTCAGTTATTTTTCCAGAAAAAAAAAAAATTGTTGGTGGTGACAAAAATTGTCCTTCAAAATTTCTTTTCACTTTTGAAGTGATATAATTTTGTTTCTGGCTTTTAGCAGAGGGGTTGATGGCACTTGTTGTAGCGGACAGCCAAACTTGAAAGTCTTCATACAACACAGACCCAAAAAACATGTTTGTCTGAGTTTAGAGACTTTTTGGTTATTTCATATTTATATTAATTTAATTTGTAATGGCACCTAGAATTCCTGAAAAGTGAACATGCTGACTCCCCTGAATGGTGTTCTGTCTCTTTGATATTGAAAGACTGTTATTTTCTGACATTTGCAGGTTTCACTACGCAGGGAGGACTTGGGAGACCATCAAGAAATCCAGCCTCATGTCGGAGTTCAACAGACTTCTAACCTGAGAGTTTCCTTTCCTGGATGAATAACCGACCGTCTGCTTCAGAGGAAAACAAGCTTTTGGCCAAGAATAAAGGCTGTATCTTCATGATGAGAACTGCTATTCATTCAATTGTCACTGTTTAGAGAGACTATGGGCTCAGTGCACAAGCACCCCTTCAGCAGCAAGAAAAGGAGAGTCGGGGGAGACCTAGACTGGTTCCCGGTCCATCCACTGTGTATTTCGAATGATCCAAAGTTATTAGGAGCGGGGAATTGGTCTGGGAGACCATAACAAGATAAAGTTGAACGTATTCGGTCGCCGACGATTAAGCCTTATACTCATGCGAAGACGCTAGTGGGCCTGTGAATAATAGCTTTGGCACATTCAGGAAGACGTGCGTACTTCGCACGCGAACCAACAAGGTACATTACGCACATGCTGTGCGTCCCGTCCACGGGGCTCTCAAAAGTGGTAAAAAGTGCCCTCTTTTGTTGGTGAGCAGAGCCCATACCGGTACCTCTTACTTGAGCCGTTTTTTTTATATTTTTGTGATGAGAGAAAATTGTTAAAAGAGACAAACTGCTGTCGGCAGGGCAATCCTGCTTTTCCTGCAGACTGTAGTGCCACACTCCTAACTGTTGAAAACAGTCACTTGATCGATTTTGACTGAAAGGACAACTTTGCACCGAATGTATGTTTGCCAAGGAAGGTTTAAGCAACTTTCCCCTCTGAGGTAAGCGTGCCACTTGCTGTGCTTACTGCCTACAATCTCCATGAAATAGACAGAGGCTGTTAGCAGAAAAGTTGTTTGCTTAGTAGCGCCATGAGATTGGGCCCTTGTCATTTCTAACAGGTTTTTTTTTTCTCATGGAAGGGTTTCTCTTTCTTTGCATTGTTGCAATAAATTTTGGAACCCATGAAATGTGAGTTCTGATTATATTCCAAAACAATTGTTCTGCTTTTTTTTCCCAATACGAAGTTAATTCCCCCATACCTTTGTTGACCGAATGGCTTTATATAATGCCCAAGTAAATCTTTGTCATATGATTGGAGGATTGTAGGTCATGTGGCATTCATTAATCGAACCATAGCACGGCCTACTTCATAACCGTGCATTTTTTGTTCCATTTACCGTGCATTTTCGTCCCATTCCTTTTTAGCATGCACGCTAAGACGCGCAACGGCTTAGCGCTTTACGATCTTTGCGCTATTTAGACCATATCATACGAAATAGCAGTACAAAACTTGCCTATGAAGTTGATACAGTTGCCTTGACGATTTTGTTTTGCATTATTTTAAGAACTTAACAATGTTAATTTTCATTGCTGTCAATGATTTGACTTTTTGTTAGCCTTTGCAAGCTGAAAAAAGTAGTGGATATGATACAATTTTGTGAGTTTTGTTTGTTCTTAAAGTTTTATCCTCCAATCTAATGACAAAGATCTACTTGGATGTTATATAAAACAATGAATGTTTTGCATTCGTGCAATGGTGAGAATATGTTCATTTGTTGAAAGATGGAATGTTCCATTCAACTTGGCCTCGCTTCGTTGAATGGAACATTCAATCTTTCTTATCATGAAGAGATTCTCACCATTGCACTCATAAACATTCCTTATTTGTATAATATTCAATTTACGACTCTTTGGATGCATCTAGACTACCAAATGGACCAGATTTAGCTCATTCCTTTATATTACAGGTTAGGGGCAGCATCCCTATACAAATGGTTCACCAACCGCCGAATGGTTCCCAAGTGATTGACTCGCCAACCACTTCAGAGCAGTGTGCCGAATGGCTCATGCTTGATCTGCGCTGGTTGACAAGACGCCTGTCGTTTTAGATAACCCCAAACAGTAGAAAGAAAAATCCGAAATGATTTGGGCAATCCAATGTTCGGGGGTTGCTGAACGATGTGTATAATGCCACCCCGTACTTTATCCTACACGATATAGCATGTAGTCAGTCACAGAGCTAGTCAGTGAGATAGGTAGGATACAAATAGGACACCACCCACCAGGGGGATGTAGCCAGCTATTTGTTATTTGTCTGAGCATGTATAAATGCACAGTTGTAAATTTCAGCCCAGTCTTGGATAAAGATGTTGCATATTGGATTGGCAATAACCTGCCCCCCCCCCACCAGTTTGTAGTGGTATTGTCCTTGGAGTTCTCCTCTACCAATATCAGCAAATGGCTTAGCCTCTAGCGGCTGGGATCACAGATCACCAGGCCCGAAGCACACCACCAAAAGAACACCCTCACACGCTTGCCTGTACCAATATCAGCAAATGGGTTAGCGTCTAGTGGCCGGGATTGCAGATCCGTTTTGGCGGGCCACACCACCAGGCCCGAAGCACACCACCAAAAGAACACCCTCACACGCTCGCTGTCACACCACCCAACGGACTTATCAGCAGGACTAAGAAAAGAATGGGGACCCGACACCAGATGTCATTAACTTTCACTTGTCAAAGGCTAATAAAAAACTTAAACACATAAACAGAACCAGCTTTAGTTTACATAAAATAACACTCGTTACTTTAAACTCTACCCGTAACTTTAAGCTCTACCCACAACTCTGCCCGGCTGCCTTGATAGCTTTGCCGTCTGTGATAGACTCACCCTCGGCGTTACACATGTTGAGGTATTAGTCTGGTCAATTGGCGCCTTCGACACAGTGCATGCTGCAGATATGCTGGTCCTTGGTCACTTTGCAGGATGCTCTGTATCTTCTGTCGATTTTTGCTTGGAGTCCGCTATATACTTTGGCTTCTCAGCAGTTTCGCTCGCTGCCTTCTGGTGGCCCTTTCTTGTCAACTTTGGCTTGCCTGTTCTCTTTGACTCCCGTTCACTGCTTTTCCTGCGCCTGTTGTTCTTATGAGTACATCTTCCATACAGTATTTACATTTTGGGACCGTGCTCAACTGTTAGATGTCGGTCTAAGCTTCGCTTATGAAGCAGAATTTGGCACTCCGGACATCTCACCTGTGTCCCTTCTGGTGAGCCACAAGATTTCTTACCCTCAGTGTGGTCTCTTCCCATGGTTGCTTCTCACTGTCCTTCCTAGGTGACGAACACACAAAATTGTACAATGATTACTGCGTGCTGTCATCACAAAATTAATGTTGGGGAAATTTGGGTTATAGGTGAGCTCTCTCACACACGATTCTCTCATTGCACTCGTTGACAAGTATCTTAACTTGTGGTTTTCTGCGGTACCTGGCAGGATTGCGCCATGGTGGTGCTGCTGTATTAAATCCCACTGACAATTTGTTCTGTTCTGCTCTGTTTTCTGGACTGAGCACCTCCCTTTTCCGCCTGCACCCCCTCCAGTGGTATGTTAGGTCTTTCTAGCATTGTAGGGACCCCCAAGTTCCCCTTCCTCATAAGGAATTGAAGTCATCAGAATCTGCTTCGGTTCCTCTGATGCATCACACACGTCTAAGTGATGAATGGTCTCTTGCCTTGGTGTTTCCACTGTTGGTGCATCGACTATCCACGCCTGAATCGGCTCATCTACGTAGAGTTTTAGTCTGTCGCAGTGGATGACATGGACGACCTTCATCTTGCCCTTCCTTTTCCTTTTGGATCCTGTAGTTGACATCTGACAATTTATGCAGGATGAGGTAGAGTCCCTCCCATCTGCATTGTAGTTTAGGTGATAACCCTTTCTTTTTGGTTGGGTTGTGTAACCAGACAAAGTTGCCGGGCTCCAGTTTGGGTCGTGTTGCTCGTCGATCATTTCTTTTACCTCCTGGTGCTCTGCTTCAAGCAAACTCTGGCCCTGTGATTAGCAGCTCTCATCTGTGTCCGCAGCTCATTCGCGTTGTCCGTTCCTTCTATGCCCTCCTGTTTCCTCTCTTTCACTTTGACTTCAGTAGTCAGATCATTGGGAAGGCACACCTCTCACACCAACATGAGCATGTTTGGGGACTTGCCTGTCGACTCCTGTGGTGTCGCACAATATGCAAATGTTTCTAGCGAGTAGTGTCCAGCAGGAGAGAAAGCTCACTTAAGTTGAGCCGGGGCGTTGTTGTCACGGAGGTTTGGTCCTGGTCAGCAGGCAGAACATTTTCCGGTGGAGCTTGGACATAGGCGGCAGAAATTGAAGGAAACTCTAGTGATTAACGAGTTGGCAGTAAAGACGTATCCCGAAATCCCTGAGGAATCATAGATCTGTTGGGGAAAAATCACTTTGTCGATGATGCTATGTCTGATCAGACCGTCTGTGAGGGCATATTCCGTGCCATACCGAAGAATTAGTCGGAAGAAATTCAAGCTGCAATCGAGACAGAGAACTTCCAAAAGTGGAGGCTCACCGCAGTTTCGAAAAACCTACATATTTTGGCCGAGCAGTTGATGGGGAGACAGAGCATAGAATCAAGTCGGTAGAGATACGGTAGCTGCAAGAGCGTGGTCGAAGAGTATATATGAGCATAGTTGGGTCAGCAACTGGGAAATGTGTTGAAGATTTTGTCAGTGCAACGACAGGTGAATCATGAGGTACCTCGCGAGGAACCTGAGGGGCCCGAGGGTTCACTTCCTTCGAGGAAGAGAACAAAGGTAGACAATGTCACAAGTGTGGCCAGAGGGGTCATTTCGCCCGCGAGTATGGACAACGAAGACGAAGGAAATCCCCGCTTCAGGGAAACGACCAGCAACGAGGGGCCCGCGGAAAGGCTTAACAGCATGGAGGGTCCACAAAAGCAGTTGGAGAGAGAAAGATGAAATTAGACTCGGAAGATGATTTGCATACGGTGGCTAAGCCAGTGATCTATGAGGGGTCCTTGTCGGGGTCCGTTTGTTGAGGGGTACTTAAGACCCAAAACGTTTCGGTTGTTAGTGGACACGGATAAGTTGATCAGCACCACTGTTTACTACAAGATACCAAAGGAACAGAGACCTGTCCTCGAGAGTTGTGGCAATGAAGTACGTCAGGTTGTTGGTAGACCATTTTATGCTTTAGGTTCAGCATGGGTGGACCTGCAAATTAGGAAAACGGTTTTCCCTGTAAAGACACTTTTGCTTACATAACCGCCCCTGTTGTGTTTGGATGGACTGGTTGTTACCGACTCGTGGTTGCTTTGATTTTCGGACTTTGGAGTTGCATGTGAATGGAGAGAAAATCAAGTGTACAGGAGGTACAGGAGAGTTGTTTGCTGGACCTGTAATAGTCAGTGAAACAGTAGCTGTACCGGTGCCAGCCGGGCATGATGCCACCGTGAGGGGCACAATTGCCAACACGTGCGATATTGAGGGGCTGAGGGGCTCTGTGTTGGTTGAACCCATTGAGGGTGGAGGAGAATTAGGCCAGAGGGGCCTTGTTTTGGATAATTTACTGATTGGTGTGGCCAGGCGCGGTTCTACAATTGGTTAAAGTGGTCAGAAATTGCCTCAGATCGTACCACAGAGCATCTAGAATCCAAAAATTGTTCGTGGCCCTTAAGCCGGCCCCGAACCATAAGTGTCTGGAAAAAAATAACAGGCCAACATTTCAGCACGCCTCCCTGAAAAAAATTCTGG